TAGCACAGAACCGTGAAAGGTGGAAAGAGGTTGGGGAGGCCTTTACTCAGCAGTGGGACGTTATGGGCTGATAAGATAAGATAATTTAGAGCATTTATAATTTTTTTTATTTTAATAGCACGTTCTCAAAAATAAAACTTAAAGCTCTAACATAATGTGAATGGTTTTGGAATAAATTTGAACCGCAATCATAACGAACTATTAAATGTGGAGTAAGGACAATAGAGTCGTTAGCTCACAGGTATTACAGAATTGATTGTTCTTGAAGTATTGCTAGTAGGGTGACGAAACTTATTGTTTGGTTATATGAGATATTTTCTCGCCATTTGTTCTATTTAATAGTCAACTGTGCAGTCAAAATATTTTATCAGATTAAGATCAATATCATCTTTTTTTTCTCTAGGGAATCTATAACGCGTGAGTTGCTTAATTTTGAGATACGGTCTACTTACGTCTCACAGTTGAACACGGGTCTGAAAAATTTAATGGGCATGAATTTCTAAATGGGGTTTGCAGAGTTGCGTGAAAGGAATAATGTTATTTCATGTTGGCTATTAATATATTTTTAATTAACGTCATTATTTTAATAATTCCCTGTAAAAGCTGGTTCTGTGTGAGTGTGGAGCCTCTCTGCAGTACTAATGAACCTCTCTTCGCTCAACATATTGTGCATAGAAACTTTAAGCTGGCATTTTGTGAGAGCGTGGTCCCTCCCCGGCCGAGTCGACCTATCCGTGGCTTAACCATAATATAGCTGCAGCGTGGCTCTACCACGCGTAAAAACTGTCTGTGGCTGAGTGCTTAGCCACCATTACTTTTTAAAAAAAAATTAGCACCAACTCTAAACTACTCCAACTCTTAATTGCAGTTTTATTTTTGAACAGATAAAAAAGCCTGGTCATCATAAACAGTTCAGGTATTTTATGTTTGAGGCCGCATTAAGGCTCTTCACATTAGATACAAATCTCCGCAGTGCCCGTCCATTCGGTGCTATCCTTGACATGATTTTCGTATCTTGATGATGCTACATTTGATTTGTTTTATCATCTAATTGGTAACAAAATCTATAATGGGCCAATTAAAATGTAAGCTCAAAGCAACGAGCTATTCCTGAGACTCAATTCCTAAAATGTCGTAAATATTTATCGTCGTCGTCACTTTTAAAACTAGATTTATTATTTTTTTATTATTTATTGAACCGCTGAACATCTGTTTAAAATATACCATCCGATATAGTATTGTTTTCCTCTTTTCTGCCGACTTCCAAAAAGGAGCCGGTACTCAATTCGACTGTATGTTTTTTTTTTCGTTTTTTTTTTATGTGTGTTACCTCAGAACTTTTTTCTGGGTGAACCGATTTCGATGATTCTTTTTTTATTTGAAAGCTGGTACTTCTCGTGTGGTCCCATATGAATTTGATCAAGGTCAGACCAATGTTATAAAATAGTAATAATAAGGTATGTAATATTTATGATATTGTGCTGGTGGATCGAGCACAGTCAAGAATATTTTTGGTCGACATCACCTTTCCTTATGATGAGAAACTCCTGAAAGCCGAAACAAATAAGCAAACAAAATATCTGGACCTGGCTCATGAGGTGGCTGATTTGTGGGGTGGTTTGTCGACTGAAATTATACCTGGGGTTGTTTGCGAACAGGCTAATCCCGGTCAGCCTCTCAGGTCATCTCATCTTAGGCGATTGGGACTTTGTGACGAAACAACACCAACTTCGTGACTAGGAAAACATATTCTTAAATAACTTATATTGAAGTCGGCTGTACAAAATTTTTAATTTTAAATTATTTATATCGTAGAAAGTAAAACTTTTTTAAATCTTATATCCACTAATAAGTTACTAAATCTTAATAAATTTTAGGGAGCTTTAGTGGTTTAGGGGAGGCGGCTATCATGATTTCATTCATCCTCAAAATGCTCTGATTTATTTTCTTTAGTCACTAATTGCAAAATTTTATGTAATTCAGGATATCCTTGGGGAGAATTCTGACTTGTAGGACGCAAAATGTCGGTCGAGTTCCAACACGACACACATTATTAAGTAATAGTTTATAAGCTCACCATACAGTATTCTATGAAGCTCACTTTGGATTTGGATTTACATTAAGATATTATTACATGATATAGCTATGCTACAAAATATTATTTTACCGGAAAAGAACCACGCTCGCACAGAGTACCAGCATTAATTGCAGTATATACGATGATGATAACGTGGACCGAAGACTCTTTTTTCTGAATACGAATGGATTAACTAATCGTAATGACCTTCGAAACTGAATTGGCTCAAAGCTCATTACGAGTACCTCATAGCGGCAGAGCCATGCTGCAGCTATATTAATGGTATAGTTGTAGCACGAATACGTCGGCTCGACTGGGGAAGGACCACGCCCTCACAGAATACCAGCGTAAAATAGCAGCTTAACGATGCTGTGTTTCGTATGGTGAGTTTAGAGAACCGGAGACCGTTTTTACTGGAACCGAGGCATTCCATCTTAGTCCTCACGGGTGACGACGCATCTGCATTTTGATTTGTAATCGAGGATAGATGTAGATGTCTATGAGCCACAGCAACCACTTACCATCAGGTGGACTGTGTGCTCGTTTGTCACCCTTATCTTATAAAAAAAAGTCGTGCGAGCTACGGTCGGCCGGTTAATGATTTCTCAAATTTACGCGAGTACTACACATGGAATCATTATTCCATATTTTATTCGTATTATATTATCAGGTAAAGTACTCTATTTACGTTTATTAATACATAAGAAATTTGCACATTTTAAAATACATTTTTATTTATTCACGGGGAAACAAAAGAGCAATTGTCACACCTGATAGTAAATAATTTCCGCCGCCAATAAAGATCTGCAACGCTTGAGGAATTATATTCACTGCCGGACTTTTAAAAAAAGGTAGACTCTTCTTTTAAATGTACTTTAGTAGCATCGATTCGAAAAAACTGTTGGTAATAAATAGTAAACTACAAAATGTGGTCATGCTGTGAAGGAAATTTCTAGAAAAAACTATCTACAAGTTATGTTTATGTCTACAATTAACATTACCGTTACAGCCTATTAATGTCTATTGCTGAACATAGGCCTCCCCTATAGGCTACAACTGCCTCATTGGAGAGATATTTGCCATAGCTGCCACGCTATTTGGCAACCATGTAGTGCTGGTGTATGGTTATACACTACCCCATATCATCTCGACAGAAGCGACAGAGGGAAATAAATCAGAGGATGGGTAGCAGCGTCTTCCGAATTAAGACATGTTAAATAATTGCAAACAATTAAATTTATAAGTCAAAGGTCGATATAGTCAAAATGATTATTCATTAAGATAGACCAAAGTTGTCAATCACTTTGCAGTCTGCATGAAATGACTTCGCGGTTGCGAGAATGCTTTTCGAAACATCTGTTCGATTTTAATTGGATAAGATATAACTATTATGCAACAACCCAATGAATATTACATTTAAAAGCTTATAGTAAATAATTTATCTAAGTTTATTTATGAATTCATTATATTTGAAATGTATAATGGTTAAGTGTATCAACAGAATGCAAAACTAAAAAGTCGAGGGTTCAAATCCGCCATTCGACAGTTATCGTGGTCCTAAACACAAGCATTTAGCTAACTTAAATTAGTATTAGTAGGCTAGTTATCTTTTTTATATCTTCTTAAATATAAGTCTTTAACAGTGGTAGAGCCGCGCAGCAGCTTTTGCTGTCGCACGGATGGGCCGGCTCGAACCGGGGTAGTACCACGACCTCACAGAAAACCAGCGTGAAGTAGAGGTTTACCTCTGCGTTTCGCTTGGTGAGTGCAGGTGGCCGGAGGCCCTTTTTATTGGAAATGAGACATTCCATCTTAGTCCTCACGGGTGACAACGCATCTACATTTTGATTTGTAACAGAGGATAGATGTAGATGTCTATGGGCCGCAGCAACCACTTACCATCAGGTGGACTGTATGCTCGTTTGTCACCCTTATCCTATAAAAAAAAAGTCTCATTCACATTCATCATTACAGCACCTCACAAGATCACTGCTGAACAAAGGCCTCACCAAGGAATATCACAAAACACGATTTTGTGCTAACTAAATCCATCCATGTCCTGCTATTTATATAATTATAAGAGTGACAAACAAGCACACAGTCCTTCTGATGGTTGGTTGCTGTAGCCCATAGATATCTACATTTATCCTCGATTACGAATCAAAAATGCAAACACGTTGTCACCGTGGGGCACAAGATGGAATGCCTAATTCCCAGTGTAACAGGTCTCCGGTTCTCTACACTCACCATACGAAACACAGCAGTGTTAAGCCACTATTTTACGCTGGTATTCTGTGATAGCGTGGTCCTTCTCCGGTCGAGCCGATCTATTCGTGCTACAACTATACTACTAATATAGCTGCAGCATGGCTCTATCACGTTGAAAAGCGGGTGACAAATGAGCCCACAGTCCACTTGATGGTAAGTTCATACTGTAATTTCTTCTTCCATCCTCAGTTAAAAATCAAAATTCAAATGCGTTATTACCCCCGTCAACAAGGCCGGAACGTCTGGTTTCAAGTAAAAAGGATATTATTTTGTTTTAAATTAAAATTAGACGCGTTAAAATCATATAATTAGTTATGTGTGTAGTATTCGAATAATTACAAGAAATCAATAAGTTACGTGTGTCTATGAATAATTTGTCTCGAATATTTATTACAGTAACAAATAAAAGTACATAAGAGAGTTAGCCAATAAAAGAGGTCAAAAGTCATTTCATACACTTACGTCTGTACCATAAACACTCAATCACACGAACGACCTTATCCTATTTTTATGAAAAAAAAATACTTTCAAGCGTTCTCGCATCAGTCTATAATGCACTTGTGTCTGTGTGCTTTTTTTCTTCAATACTTTACATAATCGACTAATGTGAAGGCTTTCTTTGGCGGGGAGGCTGCACGAGTGAAGCCTTAGCCTCAGTTGTGAGAGAAGCGCGCTCGCCCGCGCCTGTGGTTTGTGGTTACTTTTTTTTATTCAAATCCTGTGTTGTGTTCGGATACAATGAGGCTAATCTTTTGGGTGAGTTTGACGTTTTGTTTTTTTTTTTGTAGTTCGGTGCTCTAACTTGTAATAAAAAAAAAATTGCCGCGACTATGGCGCGTTGCGGTCAAGTCGACTTTCTTTAGTGAAAGTCGAATGATCTTCAATTCGTTCGATGAGGGCTTTATTTTAACGATACATGCTCACATGTTATTTGACAAAATTTTATTGATTATTTTGTTTTGATGAACAAAATGATTATGGACCATTGGTCAGTGTACAGTTTGCGGAGGTTAGTTGATAGATTCGAATCTGCCATTAGAGTTTTGCCATAAACCATTTCGTACGAGCATTTGGCCTAAGCCGAAGGAATTAGCGGGTATATTGTCATTATTAACATTGTTGTTATATTTAGATATTCAAATAAAAAAAATTGAAGTTATATATTTTATAACTTAATTAAAAATTTTGTACCTAAAACTTTAGCAAATTCAGATTTTTTATTGTAAGGGTTGCCAAAGATATTTAAAAATAATATATTTTATGGCTACATATATCTCTAATTAGAATATAAAACGAAAAAACAAAGTCATTTGCAATTATTAAAAATAATTTACAAAAACAGATTTGTTAGGTAATACATATTTAATTTTTAAATAAATGTTTACAAAAATAGGTTGTAAAGAATTAATAACAAAAAACTTAATTGTTTTAATTTCAAAAATAGTTTTTAACTTTTTTTCGGTAATATTACATTTATAAAAAGTCGCATGCTGGTGATAAATAACCGATAAGCGTTATTCAATGTCGGTGTCCTTTCTGTTGCGTAAATACGTTAAAAAAATTTGAGGAAGTGTGTCAGACGGCGCGTTGTGAAATTTGCGAGCGGAACTCGATTGAGTAAAAGACGGTCCACTAGTGGCACGCTTCGCATTCGGTTTTCTCTTGTTTCATATCCGAACTCAAGCGATAAGCATTTTTTTTTTAAATCAATAAAGTTCCGATATAAGCTTTTACAACAGTAATAAATACAATTATTTATTCTTTAAAGTTAATTCTTGTTAAAGCCACGTCTACATTTATAATTTTCTTGTCATAATATTTTTCATATGTCTCTTAAATTAATCCTTAAAAAAGACTTACATCACTACCATATTCAACTAGTCGGCTACATCACCATTCATCAGTAATATTAGAGAAGCACTGGGTTATAATAAGAAAAAATAAAGATTTTTATCGTGGTATAAAATATTAGCAGAAGGTGAAATATATTTTTTATTTTCTTAAGAAAACATTTCCCCAACAATAGGATTATCCTGGTGACAGTTTACTTACATAATTCGCACAAGGACAACATCCAGACCCCAAAATTATTTGTAGGCCATACAAATACTTGTTTCATATGAACCGCGTGAACTCGCGGCCCTCAGCCGATGCTAAGCCACTGCACTACAAAGTCGTCACACAATATGCGAAATATAAGTGTGAAATTGAGGACTTTTTTATTAAATTTAGCCTCTCCTACACGATGTAAATTGCTGGCTGATAGACTAAGTTCCCACGACCGCTTAATGACGGAATATTATTAAAAACATTCGGACCAATATTCCACGGACTGGTTAGAGAGAGCAACATCACCAGAACGAAGTTATCGGATATCGCACCTGCTTGAAGTTAGAGGGTAAAAATCCCAGCGCGCTAGTAAGGCCAACCCTTTCAAGAAACTCATGCCTGATAATATATTCTTTAAAAGGCCTGTGCCCTTCAGTAAAGTAAAGTAAAGTAAAGTTGCAGCCTATTTACGTCCCACTGCTGAGCACAGGCCTCCTCTCATTTCTGAGAGGGTTTTAGGGCAAGAAACTGTCCGCCGCGCTTCCCCAATGCGTGTTGGCGAACTTCACATGTCATCGAAATATTTTTTTTTCTTATTTCTCAGACATGCAGGTTTCCTCACGATGTTTTCCTTCACCACCGAGCACGTGGTAAATCAGCACTTAAAATTGCAATTAACAATTTCATTGGTGCCGGCGGGGATCGAACCCGGGTTGCTCGAGTACTGTGAAGCTTACAGCGAGCGCTAACCATCTGAGCTACCACGGCTCAGCCCTTCAGTGGGCTTATAAAAATAATTAAGGTCAGCTCTTTTCAGAGAAGACGAGAAATAGTGGAAAAGATTATGTTTCAGTAACCCGTCAACGTATTTTTTTTATCCTTGCTTTTGAATATGTCTATGTTTAAATTTGTCAGATAATATTATGACACTTAAACTAGCGGAGTATATGCTATAAACAGCCTCCATAATACAGGAGAACATCCTAGTGTGGGGGTAACGTTTTTGAAAAAATAAAAAATAAAAAAAAATCCTTTGGCATGCACTGTACCCTAAACGGCACGATGGATTTTAACATATAACATAATACATATACATAAACACTCACGCCTATCACCCAAAGGGGTAAGCAGAGACTATAGACTTCCATTTGACATGATCCTGACACTCTCTCGCCTCCTCCACATCCGAATACCTATGCATACACGCTCGTCGGTTAAGGGTACTCTTATTTGGCTCATTTTCATTATATCGCCAATTTGGTCGATAAACTTTCGCTTAGTGAGTCCCTTCCCGACTCAGCCGTTCACCTCTGCAACATAAATTTGTTTGTCACTCTTTCCTCATTCATTCTTTCTACATGACGAGACCACCGAAGCATTCCTTTCTTAATCCCGGTCACAACGTCATCTTGCAAAAACACACTCTTCTCTTATCACACTATTTCTCACCCTGGCATTCAGATTCAGATTCTGACATATAACGCGTCGTAAGATTCGTCTTAGTTGTGGAAGTGACATAGGGTATAGAACTAGATTTTTCTCTTTTTAGTAAACACTGTCGATTATTTTTAATCACTATGTAATTATTTATAGATTCTATCTACCGTCGTTTAATATTTGGGTTCGTGAACATTCAGACGTGTACAACCTATAGGTGTATGTAAATAAGCTATGTGTACATTTTGTTTCTGGGTAAGCATATTTAATAGCAATAAGTAGAGTAAGGTTGCATGCTGCAATTAAAAATACAAAGCCTGGATTGTTTACGTATGTTTCAATGTAAAAATAATAATTTAAAATTTTGTACAACCGCCTTCAATCTATATTATTAAGGATAACTCAAAAACTATTGGTCAGACCTTAATCAAATTTATATGGGACCACATTAAAAGCACCAGATTTCAAATGAAAAATAATCATCGAAATCGCTTCACGTAGAACAAAGTTATGAGAAAAAAGTTATAAGTCGGTAGAAACGTAGATTTTAGGACAAAACCGATAACGTTCGACAACAGAATTTAAGTCACTACGTCAATAATTGGATTATTTATTAAAAATATGTATTTCTGCTTTAGGGATTTTATTTGAAATTTTCATGAGACTTTTTTATAAAAAGGCAAAATCTATTAACATCACATAGCAATAAATTAATTACACTATAATGATAATTTAAAATTAAAAATGTTGTACAGCCGACTTCAATATAAGTTATTAAGAATAACTCAAAAACGATTGGTCTGACCTTGATCAAATTCATAAGGGACCACACGAGAAGTACCAGCTTTCAAATAAAATAGAACCATCAGTGCCTCAAGCGGCCGTATTTTGTAGCATTCCTTGGGAGACTTATGTTCAGCAATGGATTCATGAATGGCAGTAATGATGATGATGATTATAATGATTATTCTTAAATTCCAAGATTTTAGCGCCCAGCGATCTTTGAAAATTAATATGGTTTTTTTTTGTTTCTGCCGTTTGTATCGCTCTTTAACTTTGCAACCCAAACATAGTATTTTTGGTGTTAGTACATTTCCTTTATAAAGCCATTAAAATTATTGAAATTCCAATTTACTAGACGGATCCTTCTTCCATCTAGGAGTCCGTCAGATTAGACACCACCCTCTTAATTGTCACTACTGTCAAACAGTAGTTTACACACTGTTGTGCTTCTTGAGTTTGAAGGGCACGCAGGACCAGAACAATTGCAAGAAACGAGCCCTTTCATCTTAGACCTCAGACGTGACGATGCAACTGTTGCCTTTCCAAGTTACTTACAATCAAGTAGACTATTGCTTTTATTACTTCATCTTAATATAAAAAGTTGGTTTGTAATTAGATTGTAAAAAATAAAAACTGACTCAATAAACTGAAGAGAATAAAATAATTTCGAATGAAATAAAGTCGATATAAATTCGAATAAAATAAGACAAAGAGTATCGAAGATTAAAAGCCCTCACTTTTTTGAAGATGACTGAGAAATAAAGAGTACTCATTTAATTTTGCACAATCTCAAAGCAGTACTTGGATATTAACATCTAACTCGACGTAATGCGGTGTTGTTGATCGCTGACGAAAAAAAATATGACAAGTTCTTCCGGCTCTTATATCTTTATGTAACAGACAGACAGACGAAAATGTAAATTTAATGTTGCCGTTTACATAAATAATAAATAGTAGGTTTCTATGCAGTAGTGTTGTAACTAGTTTCTCGGAAGCAAATGCACGTAATCAGTGCGAGTTGAAGATGTACTGAACGCGATAAAATATTTAGTACACTACATCTATTGTGATGCAATTGAGTTTGAAGTATTGTTCGGAATTTTTTTAGGTTAGACGATGAATTGTCAGATTAGGACTATGATGATACCCTTTAAGTGCTATTAAAATATTAGTGATTATGGTTATTAAGGTTATATTGCCAGATCTTTATAAGACTACTGCTGAACATAGACTGATGATTGAATGAATGATTCAAAACACAATCCTAAGCCACCGTTACCGTTACAGCCTATTAAAGTCCACTGCTGAACATAGGCTTCTCTTAGATTGCCTCATAAAGGAGATATTTGCCATAGTTGTAATGTTACTGTTGATTTAATAATTTCACATCTCAGTGGGTCATGTGCTCCTGGTAGATTATATTCTATACATCCATCCATTACAGTCTATTAAAGTCCACTGCTGAACACAAAGGCCTGTCTTAGATT